ATCCCAATCCTGCTCTGTAACCGCGGAAGGGGATCAGCCGCCGCTCCCGCTGCTTTCTCGCCAGCGAACACCGCAGAGCCGGGGGTGAAGCGGGTCCGGACGAGTGACAGAAACAGAAATAAAGGGAGGAACGGAAATAAAGGCAGGAACGGAAATAAAGGCAGGAACCGAACTAAAGGCAGCAAATGCCTTTCCGCGGGTGCGGGGAGCGAGCGGCGCCCTCAGGAAGCGCCGCCAAGGCGCCGCTGGGCGGGGCCTGAGGGGAAGGGGCGGGGCTTCGTGAGATGGAGGCGTGGTTTGTGAGTGATTGGGGCGTGGTTTGCCTGTGTAGGGGCGTGGTCTTGTCACTTATGGGCGTGGTCTGTGTGTGGGCGTGGCTAACACCCCGCCGTCCGCGCCGCCATTTTCCGCTATGCGATGGAGCGGGTGGTAACGCTGGGATCGATGGGCGTCGGTCGCATTGATAAAGGGCGATAGACGCGGTCAGCAGCGATGAGGAGCCGCAGCGGAGCCCCTGGGCGTTCCCCGCCGCGAGGTAGGGCTGGCAGGCGTGGGTGTGTGCGGTGCCGTGTCCCCCCGCTGCCCCCGGGCGCGGCCTGCGGTGCCAATGGAGCGGATCCCTGAGGGGAGCGGGGCGCGCTCCTTCCCCCGGCTGAGGGCAGCGGTCTGGGCCCTGCCCGGGCATTCCTGGGGGGCTCTGCTGGAGCCGTGTGGGGCTCGGGCCCATGGGGAGCCGCCTGAACCGCACACGGAGCCCCGAAACCCCGCCGGGTTGGCCCTTGGCAGCGTCCCGCTCGCTGCATTGGCCCCGGCCATGGCCCGGGAGGTGCCTGGGGAGGGTTTGGTGTGGGGATCGCACCAGGGGCTGGTGGCTGGAGGAGCAGCGGCTGCCGAGGGCTCTCGCAGCGCCCCCTTGTCCCAGGCGTGGTTTGCTGTGTCCCAAACCCCTGGGGCTGGCACAGCCCTGCCAGCCCATGCAGTGCCAGCTGTGCCCACCTTGTGCCCAGCCCAGAGCACTCAGTGCCACCTCCAGGGCACACCTGCAGGGATGGGCACTGCAAAGCTCCCTGGGCAGCCCCTGCCAAGGCCTGAGCTCCCTTTCCATGGGCAAATTGCTGCTGCTGTCCCAGCTGAGCCTGCCCTGGTCCAGCCTGGGGTGTCTCCTCCCCAGCACTGTGGCAGCCCGTGGGATGAGGGCTGTTGGTAATGGCTGTGGGTTATTAGGTTAAGTGATTTCCATGTCCTTAGAAGCGGTTTATCCAAAGTCTCCCAGTAGTCGAGGGTGGGAATAATGCTACAGGCGCAGTGTGGTTCCCTGGCCCGGGTGGATTTAGGATTTTACAGAGCACTAGGGGTGTCAGGATGGTGCCAGACTCTGCTCAGTGGTGCCAGTGGCAGGACAAGGAGCAATGTGCAGGGACTAAAACACATCAATTGCAGCCCAGCCTGAGGCAGAACTTCCTTCCCTGGAGGGGCAGAGCCCTGGAACAGCTGCCCAGGGAGGGGCTAGAGTCTCTGGAGACATCGCAAACCCCCTGGGCACGTTCCTGTGTCCCTGCTGCCCTGACCCTGCCTGGGCAGGGCTGGGCTGGGTGGGCTCAGAGCTCCCTGTGCAGGCTCAGAATGTTCCTCTGCAGACTTCCCTGCTGTCCGTGAGCATCTCTGCTTCTCTCAGTGTTCCCCTAAGCTGATTTATGTAAGTAAATAGACCATCTGCTTCTTTCAGAGAATTGGGGGAGAGCTTTTCTGAAATATGAGCCACTGACTTTCAAAATCTCAAAGCTGTTTGTTTTTTTTTTTTTTTCTTTTCTGAAGAAAAGAAGCAAATATAACCCCATCCAGCCTGAACCTGAGAGCCACTAAAGTGATTCCTTTAGAGAAGAAGCTGCAGGGAGAGCTCAGAGCCCCTGGCAGGGCCTGCAGGGGCTCCAGCAGAGCTGCAGAGGGACTGGGGACAAGGCCTGCAGGGACAGCACCCAGGGAATGGCTGCCAGTGCCAGAGGGCAGGGCTGGGTGGGATCTTGGCCATGAGGAATTGTTCCCTGGCAGGGTGGGCAGGCCCTGGCACAGGGTGCCCAGAGCAGCTGGGGCTGCCCCTGCATCCCTGGCAGTGCCCAAGGCCAGGCTGGGCACTGGGGACAGTGGGAGGTGTCCCTGCCGTGGCAGGGGTGGCACTGGGTGGGATTTGGGGTCCCTCCAGCCCAAACCTTTTGTGATTCCATGATTTTATGAGTCAGAGAGTGACATGAGGCTGCACTCACTGCTGCACTCACTGCTCTCCATGGCTTCTCCACAGGGATTGATGCAGCTCTGAAGAGGAGGACCAACAAAAGCTCACCAGAGTTCTGACAGAAATGGTTTTCCCCTGGAATCTCCCTGGCAGTGGTAGTTCTGCAGAGGACATCCAGCTTTAGAATCCTGGAGATGAGCACATTTTATCCCATTTTCCCAGGCAGTGGAAGGTGCTGAAGAAGTAACCTGGCCCTGAGCGTGCCCCATGTGGGAGCCTCCTTTGCTCAGCAGCCAGAGGCAGCCAGGAGCCTGGTGTGGTTCCCAGAGTGGGATTATTGCCAGTGTTATCCCTGCAGCATGGCCAGCCAGGATCCCAGGTACACACAGCACATCCCCGTGGGCAGGGAGTGCTTCAGACAGGGCCTGGGGGAGCTGAGGGGTTATCAGGGAAAGGAAACCATTTACCAAGGGAATGCAGGTGCCCAAGGCTGCTCCTGAAGGGAACTCTCTGGAAGGTCCCAGCCTGCAGGTGCAGCTGCTCTTTGGAATGAATTCTGCTGGAATGAATGAGCCCAGTGAGGGGAGGAGAGCATCCCCTGGGGCTGTGGGACTGTCACTTGCACAGATCCGAGTTCCTAACACTTACCCAGTGCCTTCCTACACTCTGAGCACTGGGAGATTGACTTCTCAGATAAAGGGTTTAGTTCCTGTGTTAATATATTAATATTATATGAATATATATACTATATAATAATATTATATGTATATATAATATTATGTATATATGTATAGTAATATTATATGAATATAACACACTATCCTGTGTTAATATATGAATATACAGGGTTATATGTTAATATATTAATATATTCATATATAGAGTGTGCTCTAGCATGATTTTAAGCTGGTTGTTTTGTAGAAAAATAATTCCAGTTGTATTTGCAAATAGTGTTAAATTAAAAAGCAGTTAATTTTTGTTAAACCTGGGGGGAAGATTCTTTAGAAACAGATACACCTTTGCCCAGCTAACTCAAAACCACATCCTGTGGATATTAATGTTATGGGCATGTTAAATACAGTACAAAATAACAGTGGAGAGAAGGATTATTTTAATAGACCTTATGCAATAAAAAGTTGTAACAAGCTTCATAACTTCTTTATAATTAATTTTTTTCTAAGTGCTCTGTTGATCTTTTCCCTTTTTGGAAACAATTCCTACAATGGTGATGAGTTTATTTCAAACAAAGCCAAGCAAAATTTGTTTTCATTGTATTAATGAAGTTGGAGTGAGTGGTGTTGAATTTTCAGATACTATCTAAATGCAAAGTTAATATAAATAATTATACAGTGGTTTCTGCTTTATTTGAAGTGGTAGGAGCCCATTCCATGTGAAAAAAGGGAAGTGCTGTTGCCATGGAAATGGACCAAAATTGCCATTAAATGATAAAGATCAGTGCTCTCCCCCAGTAACTCTTTCAGTACCACTGCCCTCCCTCAGCCACTGGAGAGGGTAAAACAATTCTGTACAGAAACCTTGGGTTAGTTAAAAGTGATTTACTAGGTAATTTACTGTGATCATTTAGTAAAATGTGCTTGTTTTTCATGTGCTTGTAGGAGCAGAAGCAAATTGTTCCTTTTGCAAGCAGAGAGGTTTGTTTGTTAATGTCCATGAGAACCCCAATGGATGTGCCAATGCCTCTCTGTCAGCTTGGTAAGTCCTGAACCTTTGTGGTAGAGAGCAGCATGCAGGGGGGTCGTTAATTCATTAATTATCCTGCTGAGTTAATGAAGTGAGAGACCATCATGGTATTGTGGAACCTCCCTGGAGTAATTCCCAGAGTAAGGATCTGTGCTGTTACCCCTGCCTGCTCCGTTCTGTGCATAAACCATGAGCAGGGCTGGAGCCAGGCTGGAGAGCTGGGAATGCTCAACCAGGGGAAGGGAAAGCTGCAGGGAGAGCTCAGAGCCCCTGGCAGGGCCTGCAGGGGCTCCAGCAGAGCTGCAGAGGGACTGGGGACAAGGCCTGCAGGGACAGCACCCAGGGAATGGCTGCCAGTGCCAGAGGGCAGGGCTGGGTGGGATCTTAGCAATGAGGAATAGTTCCCTGGCACAGGGTGCCCAGAGCAGCTGGGGCTGCCCCTGCATCCCTGGCAGTGCCCGAGGCCAGGCTGGGCACTGGGGACAGTGGGAGGTGTCCCTGCCATGGCAGGGTGGGAATGGATAACCTTTAGGGTCACTGCCAGCCCAAACCAGTCTGGGATTCATGCCTGATTCCTCCATGCCTGAACTGGTGACTCTGGCCCCAGAGTGGGCTTTAGGTCCCTTCCAGGCCATTCCATCCCGTGGTTCTGCCTCCCTGCATGCCCAGGAGCTCTCAGGTACATGTGAGGGTTTTTATTTTTTAATCTGAGTTTTTCCGGCACTCCTCAGTTTCTGCATCAGCAGGTGAAACCAGCTCAATTTGGCTGAGCTGTACTTGTTATGAGAAGGGGATTTGTTAGGTTAGGGTCCTTTAATTCTGTAAAAAGGGTCAGATCATCATCCCAGAACCCCAGACTGGTTTGGGTTGGGAGGGACCTTAAATCCCACCCAGTGCCACCCCTGCCATGGCAGGGACACCTCCCCTGTCCCAGCCCCAGTGCCCAGCCTGGCCTGGGACACTGCCAGGGTGGTAGGCTCTCGAAGATGCTACAGAGGATTCCCCATGCAGATTGCAGACCATCCCTGTTTCCGCAGGCTGAACGTTCCCAGTTACTCGTTCTCAGATATTTATCTTGGCTGTGTCTTCTTTGTAAGAGTGCAGAACAAACAGTTTTGCAACTGTTCAACTTCCTTTGCTGAACTTGTTTGTTGAAACAAAGTTCAGAGGCAGTTTGAGCTCTGGACTGAAAGGAATTTGGTTTGGATGGAGAAGAAGCATTGAAAAATCAAATAATGCTCACTGGAATGCAGCAGCAATTCAGCAGACACAATTCATTATGAATCTGAGCTTGTGTTCAGATAATAATAATTAAAATATTGCTTGATTTATCCCCACTGGACTTTTTTTCCAAATAGGTGATTTCCTAGCTGGTAAGAAATCCATTGTTCTACATTTAGCTCCAGTTAAACCCGTGATTTGTGGATCTACATAAAGATTGTTTAAATTCTCTAATTCAAGGCCCAGATTTCTCTTTTCACAGTCATGCTGACTGTGGCACATCTTTTTATCACAACAGGTTGAGACAAAAGAGAGCTTTAGGGAAGATAAGGAAGGAACTGTCCAGATTTTCCCATGGAATTCATGTAAAACAGAAATGTGTTTGGAATTAAAGCAGTGACTGCTTTGGCCAACTGGGTGTGGGAGTCAGCATCTTCTGAGTCAGAGGCATGACCACAAAAATGCCTTAAAACAAGAACAGGAAGTTTCTTTTTATTGCACTCAAAGCAAAAGGGAGGCTGAAGGGTCTTGAGAAAAAAGAAAATTAGAGGAGTCAGAACAAAACTTCAAGTGTTTGGAAGCACTGTGTGGAAAAGATGGGAATGATGAGAAGCTGGGTTAATCAAGGAAAAGAATCCTGGATGCAGTGAGAGCCAGGGTGGGTCACAGGCTCCTGGGGAGGTTCTGCAGGAACATGGAGGAACCTCTGGAATGCAGGATTGCCCAGGGAAGCTGGGGCTGCCCCTGGGTCCCTGGCAGTGCCCAAGGCCAGCTGGCAGCAGCCTGGCACGGTGGGAGGAGTCCCTGCCATGGCAGGGGTGGCACTGGGTGCTCTTTAAGGTCCCTTCCAACCCAAACCCTGCTGGGGTCTGTGAGGATCAGTCAAGCAACAATGGAATATTTTCCCAGATCAGCCCTAAAATTCTTGAGGTGGCTTGAAAAGGTGTCTGAAATAGTCAGAGTCTTCTGAGAGATGATTTGATGAGAACACCTCGGGTGGTTTTGCTGACCCTGAATCCTGAACCTCACAGGGAGGGATCCAGGAAGCAGCTCCTCCTTGGAGTCCCAGGTTCATGGACACTTCTCCCAGGCTCTGGAGGAGCGGGGAAAGGGTGGGAAAGTGTAGGAAGGTGTGAAAGAAAGTAGCAGTTCCCCCAGGGAGTGCTGGGTATGAACCAATTGTTGCAAATGAGTAATTACAATACAAGTCAGGTGCTGTGGATGGATACACCAGAGCATTAATACAGAGTTTCACTTTCCAGTGTGCCTCACCTTTCTGTCTGCAGCTGTTTGCAGCCTGCCTGGTAAGAGTGTTACCATCTCTAAAATGCTTTTCCTAACACATTTCATAGCTTGCACGTCCTCACCAATCATCATTTGGAACTTCATGCTCTTTGGAGAAATGTGCACATGTGCACAGTGCTTTGCATTGCTGTGTCTGCTGTGCTGAGCTCTCCCCTGTGGCTGCTTTTTGGGGCAAATCTTGAGCTGCTCTAAATGGCTTTGTTTATTTATTAGAATGGTTGCAAAGCTCAGAGTTGTTTGTTGGGGTTTTTTTTTTTGTTATTTTTTCCTTTCTAGAGAGAAAGGGGCTTCCTTACAACCTCCAGATGGACTCCCACAATTTCCAGCACGTTTTGTCCTGGCAGGCAGAACATGACCCAGCTGTGCCAGCATCCTACAACGTGCTCTACAAAGACTACAGGCAAGTCACACAAAATAAGGCACAAATTCTGCTTTTAATGGTTATTGACCCAAAAAGGAGGGAGCTTTGCAGTGCCCATCCCTGCAGGTGTCCCCTGGAGGTGGCACTGAGTGCTCTGGGCTGGGGACAAGGTGGGCACAGCTGGCACTGCATGGGCTGGCAGGGCTTTGCCAGCATCAGGGATCACTGAAAATAATAAGGCTGAGGTTTTCTCTGTTTTTCTTGGTTTTTTTCTTAGTTTTTCTGAGTTTTTTTCCCTTGAGATGCTCTCCTCACACTGCCATGCCTTCTCACATCAGAGGAGTGAGACTCTTGCTCTTTCCTGCAGGAGCCAGGACTGGATGAGTGCTCAGCAGTGTTCAGGCACTGCCCAGCTCTCCTGTGAGCTGACAGAGGAGTTCAAGGCCATATATACTGAGTATTCTGTGTTTGTTCAGAGCATTGGAGGAGCTCAGCTGCTCAATTCTTCTCTGCTGCGTTTTGTGCCATTCGCTGAGAGTAAGTTCTGTCTCTGCATTTCTTCTTTTTGTAGTTTTCATTAGCAGCTGATCCTGAATTGTGTTCTGTTACCTTTGCTGTAAGACTCCACATTGCCTGTGTGGGTGGCTATTTGTATGTAGTATTTCATCTATGTGTAGTCCTGATTTGTAGTTCTCATAAAGGAATAAGGCTCTGGTTTTGAAATAAATACATTATAATTATCAAGAAAATACAGTTGTGCATTGACAAACACCAAGTAAAAATCTCTTGACTGTGTAAGCTATATAACTTAAAGAGCAACATTGTATTTGTGTGTTCACATAGTGAATGTTGAGTTTAATCGTGCCAGGTCTGCATAAGGTGTAGGGAAGAGATTGATGGACAAACAATCCATCTGCCCTTGTCTTTATTGCCAGAGGTGGCTTCACCCTTGGCTCTGCTCAAAATGGAGTTTTGAGCTCCCAGAGCTAAGAAATGTTGAGGAGCAGCTGGAGAGCTGTGGAGGATGAAGGGATGGTGTTTGCTCTGAGCTCAGCAGAGGCAGCTGCTGTGTCCCCTTGCAGGGCCAGCAGTGAGGGAACACGGAGGGAATGGGGAGAATGGGACAAGGAGAACTGAAGGAGAACATGCTGAGGAGGAGCCCTGCAGTCCCTGCAGTTGGTTTCATAAAAAGGGCAGGACGAGGGGGAATGGGTTTTAGCTGAAGGAGAGCAGGGTTACATGGATATTGGGAATGAGGAATTGTTCCCTGGCAGGGTGGGCAGGGGCTGGGATGGAATTCCCAGAGCAGCTGGGGCTGCCCCTGCATCCCTGGCAGTGCCCAAGGCCAGGCTGGGCACTGGGGCTGGAGCAGCCTGGGACAGTGGGAGGTGTCCCTGCCATGGCAGGGGTGGCACTGGGTGGGCTCTGAGGTTCTTCCCAACCCAAACCATTCCAGGATTCTGTTCTGTACTTTAACCTCAGCTTTAATCTCTTGTAGATACAAAGATCACATCTCTGTGAAGCTGGAGTAAAGCCTCTATTCCCTTTCTGCCTCTTCCTTCCACCCCTTTTCCTTTGAAGTCTGGCCCTGTAGGGAATGATGGTTTGTCTGTGGAGGTTAAATGTTGCAAGGCCTTGTGGATTTACAGCAGTGACCTCTCTGGAGTGTGCTGAGCCAGCCCTGTGTGCATCACAGAAATGGAATTGTCCTGGATAAGGTAGAACTGTATTTTTCCATCATTTTTTCCTCTCTCTTGTTTTCCAACAGCAATTCTGGGACCACCAGAAGTGAATGTCACTTCCTGTCTAAACTGCCTCAATGTCACCATAAAGCTGCCAGCCTCTCACTTCAGACAGAATGGGAAGCTGCAGTCTTTAATTGATATCTATCAAGAGCTGGATTATGATATCACCCTGAAGTCACAGGATGGAGAGCACAAGGTAGGGAAATTTGGGAATAGTTGTGCTTTAGGGGAGGAACACAGAGGGCATGAAATGGCTCTGATGGTTAACAGGCTCCCAAAACCAAATATGTGGATGAAAGCAAAAGAAAACAGAGAAATAGATTTCTTAGAAGAAAAGAGAGAGCATGGCCAGCAGAATCTGAGCTTCCTTTCCCTGCAGGGGCAGGTCAGGGGGAGGGAGCAGGGGCTCCTCCAGCCAATCACTGACTTCAAACCATTGCTTTTCATGGCAGAGGCCACGGCAGAGAACCACTGCAGAGGTGTTCAGTGTTGTCATTGAGGAGTTGTATCCCAGCAGGAATTACTGCCTGTCCGTGGGGGTCACTGCATCTCTGAACAAGAATTCTGTGCCCTCCCCCTGGAAATGTGTCACTGCAGACTCAGAGGCTCAGCAAGGTGATGGGGCTGTGGGCAGGGTGTGCACTGTGTTCTTTGGTGTAGGGACATTTACAGTTCAGTCCTGAAAAACAAATGATCACAGAATTCCAGAATATCCTGAGCTGCAGGGACCCCCAGGGACCCCCAGTGCCAGCCCTGCCCTGCCCAGAGCCCACCAAGCCCAGCCTGGGCAGCCCTGGCAGCGCTGGCCAAAGGCTGCTGGAGCTGTGGCAGCCTCGGGGCCGTGCCCATTCCCTGGGCAGTGCCAGCACCCTCTGGGCAAGAACTTTGCCCTAAATCCAACCTAAATCCCCAACCCCTGGGTGCTGTCCCTCAGGGCCTCACTGGCAGAGAGAAGCATCCCCAGAGAGAACCATTGTGGGTATTTAGGAGTGAAATGTAAACCCCCAGCACTCAGAGGGAACAAGTCTCTTGGCAATCCCCTGAGCCATACAGATCTCCACTAGCTCTGCAGAAAGATGGAGTCACTTCTTTTGTAATTCCTGAAGCTAATTTGGGATTTGGTCTTGTTCTGACTTTAATTTTCACAGATCCCTTCTAACCAAAATTATTGGGGGTTCCTGATAGCTGTTGTGACTGACAGATCTGGAATGTGGTGGTGGGACACTTCCTCCATGTGTGTTTATTTGATTTTTTTTCACTCCAGAGTACCATGAAGCTGCAGTGGCAGGTGCTGTCTGTGTTGCACTGATCATTGCTGCAGTCCTGAAGTGTGTGCATGCAGCAGGTTTCATTTTCCCAAAGTTCTCCCTTCCTCAGACCCTGGTATGTAACAGCTCTCAGAGGAGGTTTAACCGCTGGAATTTCCAGCCCTGTGCTTTAGGTACAAGTTCTGGAACAGCACAGAGTGTAGTTTACCTCAGTCCAAGATGCTCTCTAGGCTGTTAAGCTTTGTCTGATCTTCAGAACAAATGTTCAAAACCACTTCTTGCTATTTCTGTGACAAGTTACTCACAGAGAGGATCATCCCACCCTGCTCAGGGGGAACATCCAGGAATGTTTCACCCAGTTCTGGTCCCCACAGGGCACAAAAAGTGTGACCAGAGCAGGGCCAAGGGGGAAGCAGAGGGCTGGAGAAGCTGCCCTGTGAGGAGAGACTGGAGGAGAAGTTGTTCCACTGTTTCATAATAATAAAATAATCTCTCTTTGACTTTCTCTGTGATCAAGCACAGAGGGAGCCACTCCAGAGCCAGCTAGTTTATTTCCATAGATTGAATTTAAATGGATAATTTCATTCACAAATAATTGTGCCACTAAATTTCAATCACAAATAACAAGATTTCTTGTTTCTCTCTTTTATCTTTTTTTACTTGTTCTTTTTTTTTAGAGTCTCTGATTTCTTTTACATTTAATTCTGTAGGGTTTTTCAGCACAAATATTTTCCATTTTTTTCAAACATACCCAGAGCAGATGGGTGTCACTTTTTTCTAAGACTTCTTCCACATGTTTCTGTCCTTTGCTTATCATGTCCTTGTCATCACTCACATCCCAACAATTGCTGAACACATTACTAAGGAATATCTAAGCTTTATTTATTTTTTATTGTCAACTTGATAAATGCTTCAAATATTGAATAATCCTCTGAAGTGCAGGGGGAATACAGGGCTTGAGATGTTAAAATTGTGAAAATTCTTCAAAAGATAATTTCTAAAGGATGTTAAAATTGCTCAGCTGTGATAGAGGTTACTGCAAGAGTTGGGAGATGACAAGACTCAGCTCACCCTGGCAGGGTGGGCAGGCCCTGGCACAGGGTGCCCAGAGCAGCTGGGGCTGCCCCTGCATCCCTGGCAGTGCCCAAGGCCAGGCTGGGCACTGGGGACAGTGGGAGGTGTCCCTGCCATGGCAGGGGATTGGACTGTGATGATTTTTTAAGATCCCTTCTCACTCAAACCTTTCAGGGGTTCTGTGATGCTCAGGAATGAAAAAGAAGGAACAATTGTATTTGTCCTGGTTTAGGGCAAATTTGGGAGATAAAAGCATCATATAGTCGGCCTAGAATACCTAGATACCCTGAACTCTGCAGAAAAAGCCCAAACTGTGGCACAGAAGGAATCATTTGTTTGACAGCCTCATGGCTGGAGGTTATTTGGAGTTTTTTTCGTGGTGTTGTGAGCATATGTGCAAAAGTGGCTGATTATTTAATTCCTTTTACTCCCCAGGCATTCATCAGGAAGTTGGCCTACTCCCCGTGGGTGTCCGTGTCAGAAACAGTGGAACTGAACTCGGTGGAGATCATCCTCAGAGAGGTGAAGAGCAAGGCCAGGGGCTGCACAGGCAGTGCCAGTGACGACAGTGACAGTGACGACAGTGACAGTGGTGCCCCGTGTGACCACGACTACACCAGGCGGGGCAGGCCGGGCAGGGGCAGTGTCCCCCGGGGCTGTGCCACCCCCAGCAGCCCAGAGCAGTACTCAGCGAGCAGCACCTGTGAGCCCAGCAGCCCCCAGGCTGGGCACACGCCAGCTGCTGAGCCCCAGGAGCCCCAGGGCCACCCTGCAGGGCACAGGGACACGGGGAGCGAGCTGCTGAGCCCTCTGTGTGGGGACGGCCCCGAGCCCCAGGGGGACAGCGGGTGCTTCACCATCAGCCTGCACACGGTGCTGCTGGGCACCCTGGAGCAGGATGGGCACGGCCCTGCAGCTGCTGCCCCAGCCCAGGAGGATGCAGGGGACTGGCCCTGTGCTCATGGTGGGCAGGCAAAGCTGCTGCAGGACACGGCAAGTGGGCAGGGAGCACCTTGTGCTAACGACTTCCACGAGTGGCAAAACTCCTCCTCTTCCTCTGAGGAAAGCGACTCTTTGGACTCAGACACAGAGCAAGTAACCGGCTACATGAGGAGATGAAGAAGGGAGAACTGCTTTTACTTTATAACATAGCAATCAGTGTTGTCCAACTCTTATTTCTGGGCTGAACACACAGATCTTGTCCTTTCATTAACATCCTGTGGTGTGGGATCCTGCAGAAAGAGCTGGGGGTGTTTGTCTGGAGAAGGATCCAGAGAGACCTTAGAGCTCCTTCTGTGCCCAAAGGGGCTCCAAAGGAGGGGCTGTGGACAAGCTGTGGAGGGACAGGACAAGAGGGAATGGCTTCAAACTGACAGAGGGCAAGTTTGGATTAGAAATTGGTCCCTGTGAGGGTGGGGAGAGACAATTTCCAAGGCCTGCAGGGACAGGGCACAGGGAATGGCTGCCAGTGCCAGAGGGCAGGGCTGGGTGGGATCTTGGCAGTGAGGAATTGTTCCCTGGCAGGGTGGGCAGGCCCTGGCACAGGGTGCCCAGAGCAGCTGGGGCTGCCCCTGCATCCCTGGCAGTGCCCAAGGCCAGGCTGGGCACTGGGGCTGAAGCAGCCTGGCGCAGTGGGAGGTTGGTCTCCCAACCAGACCGCTTTTACAATTTTTTTATTCTTTATCTCTGTCAATGGATTTTTGTGAAACCTGTTCTGCTGGCTGGATATTGTATTTGTGCAGAGAGCACTGATCAAGTGGAAAAATGGGGGCAGAGACAGGAACGCTCAGCCGACAAAGGAGTGGATCGAGGCATTAATACATTTCTTGTATTTATTTTTGTATAATTTTGTACAATTACTGATTCATATTAAAATATTTTTATGACATTTAAAATCCAAATGAGCAATTTAAAATTGGTGTGAGCCACCTTGATGTGTGAGGGGCAACCCGGGGCCGCCGCCATGCCCGGTGAAGGTTCGGGGTGCCGGCGTTCCCCGTGCCCGCCCTGTGGGAAAGCGGAAGGTTCGGGGTGCCCGCCCTGCCCTGTGGGGAAGCGGAAGGTTCGCGGTGCCGGGGCTGCCGGTGTTCCTGGTGCCCGCCCTGTGGGGAAGCGGAAGGCTCGGGGTACCGGGGCTCCCAGTGCCCGCCCTGCCCTGTGGGGAAGCGGAAGGTTCGCGGTGCCAAGGCTCCCAGTGGCCGCCCTGTGGGGAAGTGGAAGGTTCGGGGTGCCGGGGCTCCCGGCGTTCCCCGTGCCCGCCCTGCCCTGTGGGGAAGCGGAAGGTTCGGGGTGCCGGGGCGGCCCCGTTCCCGCTGCCATGGCGCGGCCGCCCCGCCGCGGCTGAGGGAGCCGCCATGGCCGCCGCGCTGCGGGCCGCGCTCTGCAGCGGGTTCCTGCTCCTCGGTGAGTCCGCCGGGGAGGGACGGAGGGACGGAGCGAGCTCCCGCTGCCGCCTGGCCGCGGGCACGGCGGGCGGCGGTGCCCTCATGGGGAGCGGCAGCGAGGGGCGCCTGAGGCGCCGGTGCCTCCGCGCTGCCCCGAGCCCGGCGCGGCTCCGCGGGGGCTGTGAGGGACCGAGCGGCCCCGGGGCTGCCCTGTGGGGACAGCGGGACCAGCCTGGCCGGCCACCGCGGGCATTGTCGGTTCTGTGCTGGGAAACGGGGCCGGTCCTGCCGGGAGTGGGACGCTGCAAATCCCGGCGAAACCGCGGCCCGAGAGCCCCGTGTCACTGTCTGCAGAGGGGACAGCCGGGGAACAGGGACAGGAGCAGAGGGAACGGCCTCAGGCTGGGCCAGGGCAGGCTCAGCTGGGACAGCAGCAGCAATTTGCCCATGGAAAGGGAGCTCAGGCCTTGGCAGGGGCTGCCCGGGGAGCTTTGCAGTGCCCATCCCTGCAGGTGTGCCCTGGAGGTGGCACTGAGTGCTCTGGGCTGGGCACAAGGTGGGCACAGCTGGCACTGCATGGGCTGGCAGGGCTGTGCACAAACCTGAAAGCCCAGAAATATTTCCTGATCTCTTTGGATCCACAGTGCCCAATGAAGCAATTTACCTGGAGGCTGCTCAGGCAGGCAGCGCTGGGAGGGAAGGGAGCCTGGCAAGGAAATGGGATTTTCCCTGGGAATTTGCATGCCTGCCTCAGACCTCATCCTCAGAGCAGGGGCAGCGCCCCAGGAGAAATGAGAGGGACTTTGGACGAGGGGTGGAATGCCAGGATAATAAATGGGAGTGGCTGCCTCTGCCATGGGGCAGGGCTGGATGGAATCTTGGGAATGAGGAATTGTTCCCTGGCAGGGTGGGCAGGCTGGGATGGAATTCCATCCCTGCATCCCTGGCAGTGCCCAGGCCAGGCTGGACACTGGGGTTGGAGCAGCCTGGGGACAGTGGGAGGTGTCCCTGCCATGGCAGGGGTGGCACTGGGTGGCTTTAAAGTCCCTCCCAGCCCAAGCCAGTGTGTGATTTGAACTTCTGTATTTGTGATGTGCACTGTGATTTATTTGTTGGTTGCAGGGGTAACACTGTAGGACCAGAGTCTGAAACTGTTTTTGTTTAAGCCAGGTTCAGATTTCAAACTCTTGCCTGCCAGAGGGGGTGACTGACACAGGGATTTCATTCATTTGTGCAGCAGCTGGGGACACAGCTCAGGGGTGATTGTGGGCTGCTGGGGTCACACAGGGTGACCTTGAAGTCTCTTCCAACCCTGATGATTCTGTGAAGCACAGACATGGAAAATGTGTTATTTATCTTAGAGTCTCTCACCAGGTGTGACGCCTGTGACATTAAACACTGCTCTGTTCTGGCAGGGTTTGTTTGCATTGCTCATTTGGGGTGCAGTAATGGGCTGGAATCTTTGCTATTTTGGTCTCAACACCTACAATTATGTAAGAATAATTAAGTCATAACAGTGATGGGCTTTTCATTGATATTTACACTAGTTTACGGTTTCTTTGATTCAGTTCCAAGAAAGGAGAACAATTGGGGTTTTGTCACTTGTGAATAATGCTGGTTAGTGATACTTAATTACATTTAATTATATGTAGTAGCTCTCTTACCTTCAGAGGTGCTGGAGTTTATCAATCCCCACGCCCTTGTTGTTCCCACAGTGCTGCTGGAGCACTGCTTAGAAAAACTGGGGTTTGACAATCTCAGGAGAGTTCATGCCCCGAGTGCTGGGCAGCACCAGCTCAGTCATGCCCCAGAAATGTTGGTGTCACAAGCGCTTACTGGAAGTCAGTGGAGCCAGTAATTTGCTTTGTTGCATAAGGAGGCAGGAGAGGCATCAGGATTTAAATTTAATTTATTTGGGCTCTGTTTTTGAATAAGCACCTAAGGCAAGGCAGAGGCTGCATTTAAATTTTGGATGAGTGACAAGTGCTGGAGCAAACGCTGAAATGTTGGTTCTGATTGCTCCCACAGTTTCTGCAATGGTCCCAGAGCCCCAGAACGTGAGAATCACTTCAGTCAATCTTCACAGCACCTTGCAGTGGGATGCACCAAGGTTCCCCAGAGGAAACCTCACCTACACTGTCCAGTCCAAGAGGTGAGGCTGGGCTGGGCTGGGCTGGGCTGACTTTCACTCACACCCTGCAGCTCTGTGTGCTTGGGATCTGTGTCCTCTGCAGAGCACACTCTGTGCCTTTGGTTCAGGGACTTGGCTGTCCCAGGAGCTGTCCCTTCATTTCAGCTTGTGAGAGGCTTCTCTGCTGAGCTGGAGGACAGGGCAGAGGCATTTCCTGGGCATTCACACCCAGGGCAGCCTTGTCCTGTTTGGTTTGGAGCCACAAACACACTCTAACACTGGCTGTTATTGGCTTTGTGTGTGGTTCCTCTCCTCTGTGACTGAAGGGACCTGGTTGTGCTGAGTGAGTGCCCTTCCCTGATCTCCCATCCCATCCCATCCCACCCCTGCCATGGCAGGGACACCTCCCACTGTCCCCAGTGCCCAGCCTGGCCTTGGGCACTGCCAGGGATGCAGGGGCAGCCCCAGCTGCTCTGGGCACCCTGTGCCAGGGCCTGCCCACCCTGCCAGGGAACAATTCCTCATTGCCAAGATCCCACCCAGCCCTGCCCTCTGGCACTGGCAGCCATTCCCTGTGTCCTGAACTTTCTGCCCATATACAAATCTCCCTTTTCTTTAGAAGCGCCTCCAGGCACTGGCAGGAGCTCTAAGCCTTGCCCAGAGCCTTCTCTTCATGCTTAGTCAATAGGTGTTTCTGGGTTCTGTAGCCTTGATCAGTACACTTCTGGGCAGGCTTTTGGTGCAAAGCAGAAAGAATAAAATATATTAAATATCGTCTATTAAATCATGTAGGTTGGACTCTGGGGCTGGGAGCAGCCTGGGGCAGTGGGAGGCGTCCCTGCCATGGCAGGGGTGGCACTGGCTGGGATTTAGGGTCCCTCTAACCCACACCATCTGTGGTTGTGTTCCACAAGCAGCTCCTGGTCCCTTCCCAGCCCTGTTCTCCCTGGCTTTTCCTCGTGTGCCAACCCTGGGGCCAGCTCTGAGAGAGTCCCAGTGGGACAGCAGTGCCCTGCCCTGGCACTGCCTGAGTGATTGCTGCTTCTCTGAACCCTGCCTGCTGAGAGCAGCCTTGGGACCCTGCCAGGAAATGGGCATTTCTTGCAAAGTTAGAATTTTAATCCTTACATTTATAATTTAATCATTAAGTTCATCATGGATTTACAGCTGGGTGTAAAATCCCTAGTGCGAGTCTTGCACACACCGGGTACATTTTTGTGTCCACAAGTGCTAAGTGCTTGCATTAACAGCTCTGCTGCCTTAAGGCCGTTTAGCCGGTTCTAATTGCCCATCTCTCACGCGCCGTTTCTGCTCCCTGCAGCATCTACTACCCCGGGGACAGCTTCGAGACGCTGGGGACAGGGCTGAGGCTGCCGCGGTGCGACGTGTCCTCGCTGTCCCCCTACGGCAGCTACGCGCTGCGGCTGCGCGCCGAGGCCGGAGAGCGGCGCTCCCCCTGGGTCACCCTGCCCTTCAGGCCCATGGACGACAGTGAGTGCCCTGTTCTTCCCAAAAACACTGCTATTGCAGCGACCTGAGGGGGTCGCTGGGGTGAGAGAGAAGGACGAGAGTCTTGTTTCTTGATCAGAAGGCTGGATTTATTGATATATGATATATAATACATTATAACTATACTAATAAGAATAAAGAGAGAAGTTGCAGAGGGTGCTAAGCTAAGAATAGCTAGAAAGAATCTAAAAACAAGAGAATTCTCTGTCTCTGTGTTTTAGAGAGCTTGCCCTGTGATTGGCTCAATGTTGTGCACATGGAACATGAACTAATCACAGGTGCATCTTATTGCATTCTACAGCAGTTGATAACAATTGTTTACGTTCTCTTCTGGGGCCCTTGCTTCTCAGAAGATGCACGAATCTGAAAGAAAAGATTTCTATAAAGAAATGTCTGTGACACACTGCCTGCTCTGGGAGGGAGGATAACGAGTATTTTATCATTTAATATCGTTGTGCCAGGGCTTGGCTGCTGTTTTGTACCTCTGTTGAGGTCAGGATTGAGATGGTGTTTCAGGCTTAGGTGTTTGTTTTTTCTTGTCTGTGTTACAGTCTCACAGCAGTGAGTTCTGCAGTATTTCACTAACATGGTACAAGATGGCTCACTGTCTTTCTCTACAAGGTCTTTTAAGGCTAAACTACCCAATTAAGAAATGACACCTCAATTATTTTCATTCTTAACCCAATAACTGATCACTCAAAGTCCGCAATGCAGACTTTTCTGTCCAATTACAAAATACCACCCAAACCCATGGAGAAGGTGAAGGAGAAGGAGCAGCCTCACCCTAAAACCTCCATCTTGCTCTCTCTCTATATGTTTACATTCTAAACCCTTAAACTCTGAGTTTCCCAGCCT